TTACAGAAAATGCACGAATTGACACTAACTCCTATAGCTCTAGCACGTGGCGAGCAACTAAAGCAACTACCTATAGTAATGAACTTAAGCAAACTAGCCATCCCATCCAGTCACATGCAAACCAACCCACCAATGTAAGTACTCTCACCACCCCAAGTTCATTCCATATAAAATAGTTCGTGAATCTYSAAGTTCTTTGAACCCTTATACCCATCTTACATAGGACATAGAGCTGGACCATTCACCATGGAAACAATGCCCAGCTTGTCTTTATGATATACACGAACARGTTTCACAACTACTTCTYTCTTCCTTTGGGCRGATGACTAGGCCATTCGCCATGGAAACAATGCCTAGTTGCCCTGAGCTGTTTAATATCCAAAAATTTAGTAMTTCTCWGACTTTGTTTTCAAAAGAAAAGCAAAYATGGGCTGGGGACTGAACCATTCACAGTAGAAACAATGTTCAGCTTGCCCAAACTATTTCCATTTATACTTAGTATTTTTTCATTTTTCTCTTCTTAATGATATGGCTTAACGCTGGACCATTCACAGTAGAAACAATGCCCAGCTGCCAGTTCACATGCAAATATACATAAAATACTTTCCTTTATACTTAATCTAAATTATGTGCGTGGTTTYCAGGCTAAACCATTCACCATGGAAATAATGCTTAGCCTTAGACCAAAAATCCTCCCTCAAAAATAAACAAGAATTTAAACCCCTTCAATCAGACAAACCCTCAGAGTTAACTAGAGCAACCAGGCCATTCACCATGGAAACAATGCCTGGTTCCCCAGAAAACAGCTAAATAAACACAGCAACCAGACCATTCACCTTGGAAACAATGCCTGGTCCTTCAGAAAACAGTCAAATAAACATAGCCCTGAGCCATTCACAGTAGAAACAATGCTCAAGCTTTGGTCGACCCGGTCAAACGCATGCAGTCTGCCTTCCTCCCACCTTCCCCCATTTCATACCTTAGTCTGCTTTCAGTCACAAATAAACTGAAACTTATGCTTCACTCTCACACATTCTTTCCATTCAATCTGATTAGGTCCTGAAGAGAAAGCAAAAACCATAGGGACAACACATGCATACCGCAATCATACTACAGGRAGATAGGCAAGCACGGGTAGTAATGGATTATACAGAAGAAGTGGTTTACCTGATGGTTCCCTGYCTCCAGAACTCCTCCTGAGTTCCGGCAGAGCTCCCGCAATCGGTGGGGCAAACCTCCCACAGAGGCCTCGGCGCGGACCTACGGGTTGTAATCCCGCCTGCCGCCTTCCTCTCAGAACAGGATTAGACTTAGACTTAGAGTAAGAAGGGGCAGAARTAGAGGTTTGAGACGCTCAGATACAAGAAGGGTGCTTTCAGACTCCCGCGAGAGGGCCTCGTTTCCTTGATGCGCCTGAGGGCCTCACAATAGYGACCAATGTATCAGMTTGGTCAACTCTGAATCAGTTGCTGAAGCCGTACGTCTGGCGACTCCCCACTTGGCAGCAAGAAGCCCCTCCGCCACTATTCCATTGAACTGCAGCAACAGCCACCTTTCCCCAAGTCCAGTCACCGTCACATAGCAGACTGCAATCCGTCCGCCATGGCCTCAGCGGTACTCAACGGTACGCAGCAGTCAACAGGGACAGCCGCCCGCGCACGTCGRGTTACTACCAAATCGGAGCTGCAACYCGGCCCTCTCCTCATCTCCGTTGACGAGCGAACCGCACATTGCCCGCGGCTTCACTCCACCCTTCCAACCAGCCATGCCCACAGCGTACCTSCAAGCARGAAAGCCGACAGTCCCCGTGGCCTGTGGCCGGCTCCTTCTTCCGACCCYGGGCAGGGCACCAGTCSAACAGGCAACCTGCTAGYYCATCACTCCTTTAGCCGGCAGGGCAGGCACCGCCAGATAATACACCCGCAACCATGTCAGCCCGCGAGCCTATAGCTCGATCCGCAGTCTCTCCGTTCACTGGATGGGCCATAGCAACAACCTCTAGATAAGTCGTCCGCTGCTACCCCACTAACYCARTGTGTAGATGGGGAATRAACCTTCCGCTGAACCGCAGACGGGTGCACCCACCYTCTTAGTACTTTTCCCCTTCACACCATATCGCYGATTCGTCACATAGGTCCCCCTCCTCTGAGTATGGTTTACTTCGTCCGCTGGCTCACGGGCCACTCATACCAGTGGCGCCAGCTTCTCCACGGTGATGCTGTGAGGATGACGATGAAGAGCCGGAACGCGCCGACCGATTGCCGGA